GAGACATCAGTGAGTAGTATAAATAGCTGATTAATGGCTGATCTACATCAACCCAAACTACTGCTAACTAGCACCCTGCCAAGGCTACCAGCATTTTGGGGTAAATCCACCCTGGCCAGTGTTACTGCTGGCTTCATTTAACCTCACCTGAATGTCAAACAATGCCAAAAGGTGTTCAAGGCTGTTCCAGTAACTCAGGACTTGACTGACGGTGCTCAGCCTCCAAAGGAGTGCCCTCCCTAGTCCTGCCTCCTCCCTCCCAGTGCAGCCCACCATGGAATTCTTCTCATGGGAGACAGAGGAAGAAGGAGGCAATTGGATTTATACCCTGCCCTTCACTACCCAAGGGAGTCTCAGAGTGGATTACAATCTCCTTCCCTTCCTCTCCCCACAACAGACACCCTGTGAGGTAGATGGGACCGAGAGAGCTCTTTCAAGGAGTGCTCATGAGAGAACAGCTCTGAAAGAACTTGTGACTGACCCAAGGTCATACCAGCAGCTGCATGTGGAGGAGTGGAGAATCAAACCTGGTTCTCCTGGATTGGAGTCTGTGCTCCTAACCACCACACCAAACTGGCTTTCTGAGGAATTACATGAGATGGGTCTGCAGGGAGAAAGGGGAATCAGTAGAGATATCCAGTTTAGTCTGGATCTAGCCCTATGGCTGTTGTTCTCCCTCCCCCCCCAGCTACTCTTTCTTCCTCGTGCAAATTATGAGACATCTCTTCTCTGCCAGTAGCCTTAAAAATTGTTATTCATTTAAAAATAAAAGAGAGAGATCCCGGCTGGTCTAATATTTCCATGCAACCTGCCTACCGCTGACCTTTCCCCGTCAAAATGGAGACCTTGCATGGCTACTTTGAATCAGATTAAAATGCAGTGGTAATTAAAAACCAAATATTAACTCTGGGTAATCTTGTCCTTGGCCCACAGCCTTAACGACAATGCGTTCATCACCAAACGCTTCAATATTTATCCACGCAAGAGGCGCTTCTCAGAAAAGGTCCCGTTCTGCTAATCCGGTGCTGCTCTGCCAGCTCTTCTGATTGGCGTCTCGGCCCTTTATTAGGAGTGAAGCCCAACGCAGATCCAGACCTTGTTTGCAGCATCCTGCAGATGTTCTTCAGTGTTTGAAAGTATCCTCTTCCCCGTCAACATCTATGACAATGAAGACCTGGGTCCTGCTTCTGCTGATGGGCGTTGCCTTCACCTTGGTGTCTGCACGTAAGTGGATGACATTCATATCCTTGAAGGGGGGCAGTGTTCCCTCTAAGCCGAGTTAGTGTCAGCTAGCTCACAGTTTCTTAGCCTCCGGCTGACACATTTTTGTCTTAGCTCAGGAAGGAGGGCTCAAGAGCAAACTCATGTATGCAGGAGCCAAATCGCTCACTCACCACTTTAGTGCCAGTAGCTCACAAAGGAGAATTTTTGCTCACAAGACTCCACAGCTTAGAGGGAGCATTGGCTCAGTGGTAGAGTCTCTGCTTGGTACGCAGAAGGTCCCAGGTTCAGTCCCCAGCATCTCCAGTTGAAGGATCTACCAGATGGTGATGTGAAAGACCTCCGCCTGAGAACTTGGAGAGCGGCCGCCACTCTGACCATACTGACTTTGATAGATCAATGGTCTGAGTCAGTATAAGGCAGCTTCATATGTTCATTTGTTCCTGCCGAACCAGGGTCCAGCCTCGAAGGGGACCAGATCAGCTTATCAAAATAGGGAGCATTGCTGCTGGGGATAGGAGTCTCCTAGGGTCCTTCAGCTAAGTGGAGAAATTTTCCAGGGGGAATACAGCCCCCCTCCAATGCTCAGTGTATTCTGTGATGTGGGGCACTTGCACCCTCACCTCATTTTCTCAAATGCAAACTCCCCCCCCCCTTGTAATCTCAAACAAGTGAATGAACAGTGTATGGCATCAAAGCACTGGAGGCATCCTTTCCCTTTCCTCTTGTCACTTAAGGATAAAGTAAAGGTAACGGTTTCCCTTGCTCGAAAGCCAGTCGAATCTGACTCTAGGGGTGTGGTGCTCATCTCCGTTTCAAAGCCGAAGAGCCAGCGCTGTCCGAAGACATTTCCGTGGTCATGTGGCCGGCACGACTAAACACCAAGGTGCACGGAACACTGTTACCTTCCCACTGAAGTGGTCCCTATTTATCTACTTGCAATGTCTTGCTTTCGAACTGCTAGGTTGGCAGGAGCTGGAACTAGAGACGGGAGCTCACTCCGTCATGCGGCAAACTCGGGTCTCGAACTGCTGAACTACTGACCTTCCACGGCCTGCAGTTCAGCGTCTTAACCACTTGAGCCACCGCAGCTCACTTAAGGATAAGAGGCTACAATTATGAAACCCTCTGAGGAGGAACCACCATTCCCCATCTCAAGATTCAGGCCAGCGGGGAAAGTTAAACATGAGGTGGTCTGAGATGCGGGTGACAAGTTCTAATGTTTCTGTTATGTCCCTCTTCAGATTTCCATGACGAACCGACAGCTAGTGCCGCCAATGACACTCGTAAGTATCCTGGAGGATGAGGCATGATACGTTATTTACCAGTTGTGAGTTCTTGCTGTTAGGATTTACAGTTGGCAGAGTGCCCGAGGCTTTAGCGCAGCAGAGCCCATCTGGTCAGGGCGTGGGTCGGTGTGAAACGCAAGTTACACCGAGCCTCTTTATATATGAGAAAGTAATACTAGGAGTTTATTATAGGAACTCCATTTCTAGATAGGAAAGTGGAGAGATAGGGTCTCTAGTCTAATCTAACTAACTAGATGGATTGAGGTACAGGAGAGTGTCTGCTCTCATGCTGCCAAGATGGAGAAACAGGGCATTGTGTGGAGAGCGAAGGGGGGAAGCCCAAAGGAAGGAAACTTTCCCTGAGACTAGCAATCTGTGGGCGATTCTGCACCTGGCATTCGCTCCACATTTTCTCAGCACTGAGGAAAAGGTGCAGCTCAAAAACACATTCAAATACCCCGGGCCAATGCTGCACTGACTACGAAGTCACAGCCGTAAGTCTATGCAGAAGGCACCATAAAACCTGATGATCAAAGAAAGTGAAAGCAGCCTGCAGTGTAGAGGGTGCCATACAATCCGATGATCAAAGAAAGCGAAAGCGGCATGGAGTGTGGAGGGCAGCGTTCCCTCTAAACTGAGTTAGTGCAAGCTAGCTCACAGTTTTTTAGCTTCCGTCTCACACATTTTTGTCTTAGCTCAGGAAGGACGGCTCCGGAGCAAACTGATTTATGCAGCAGCCAAATCTCTCGCTCACAGCTTTAATGCCAGTAGCTCACAGAGTAGAATTTTTGCTCACAAGACTCCAAAGCTTAGAGGGAGTGTTGGTTGGAGGGTACCATAAAATCTGGTGATCAAAGGAAGTGAACGCAGCATGCAATGCAGAGGGGAATTTCTGCTCCAAGGTGGGTTTGGTAAAACAACAGAGGGAAAAGCCAATGCAGAATCGCCCTACATCTGAAAAGGGATAGCATTGGAAAGCAGAAATGGAAGTACATCTGAAAAGGGATAGCATCAGAAAGCAGAAATGGAAGGAAGGTCAGTGTCCCAGTCTATCTACGCATCTGACTCTCTTATTTATTTGTTTCATTAAGTCTAGTTTTATCCCACCCTCCCTGCAATCAGGCTCCGGGTGGGTAACAAAGTCACACAGTCTCGACAATAATAGTTAAATAATTAAAACAATAATTTTTAAAAAAACAATAGAACAGCAGTCAAGCTTCGTGTTGCTATGCTCAGTGTAGGCTGATCATAGAGCCAGCGATTTCAGTCAAAGAGGCCGGAGACAGATTTTGGATATCCACCACCTCATCCGAAAGCCCGGCTTAACAGCTCTGTAATAAATCCCACAGGGCCCTGAGCTCAAGTGGGAGTTTTTTCCACCAGGGCAGAACAAGCCCTGGCCCTGGTTGAGGCTCGTCGGACATCCTTGGGGCTGGGGAGAACCAGTAAATGTTGGTCGATTGAGTGCAATGCTCTGTGGGGCACATATGGGGAGAGGCGATCCCAAAGATATGCAGGTCCCTGGCCGCTCTGAGACTCCAAGGGAAGGGTGGGGTCGTCTGAGGCAAAAGACAGTGCAAACAGTCCTTGGCATCTGACGCTTGCACGGTACAGTGAGATAAGCCCTAGTTCAGACGCAGTGTCTGGAATTCCATCACATCAAGGGGAGCTCTGCTTGGAGAGAAATGAGCCTTGTGGGCAACAGGATCGCCAAACCCCCAGAAGCAGGTATCTGGGGGACCTGAATTCCAGGACCTCCAGGCTTCTTGAGGAAATGCTCATGAAGATGACCAGGGGTCATTTCGTAGAAAAAGAGGTGAATGAGCTCATTAGCATAACTCATTAGCATAACTTATTTGCATATGCCACACCCCCTGATATCACCAGAAGTGTGTCAGAAGGCAACACCCACTGCAACTTACCTGGCTGCTTCTTGCTCCTTGTGGCCCAGGGCTGCTGGGAGCAGGGGGCGGGGCTCGTTGCATGTGCCCGCCCAGCGGCGGGTGTTGCCTTCTGACACACTTCCGGTGATGTCAGGGGGTGTGGCATATGCAAATAAGTTATGCTAATGAGTTACGCTAATGAGCTCCTGCACCTCTTTTACTACGAAATGACCCCTGGGTTAAACCATAGAGTGTCGCCTGTTAGAGCATCACCTAACACAATGTTAGAGCATCACCTGACCCGATAATATCACTTCCTGGTTGTGCCAGAAGTGATATCCCGGGTGTCAGCATGTTGGTGATTGCTCCTACCATTTCCCCCTAGCCAGTCAGCTGAGTGGCAGCTGGCAGAGCAGGAAGGAGGGCGGGATTACAGTATGCAGGGCACCTTTGCTTCCTTTACAAGCATTCTTTGCAATATACCCTTCCCACCTTCTGACTCCTGTTGGTCTCTGGGGTGCTACTGGACTCGAATCTGACTGTTCTACTGCAGACCAACACAGCTACCCACTTTGGGATGGGGATGCGGAGAAAGATGGACATTTTGCTAGTTGATAACAATGCAAGGGGTGACAAGCTTTTTGGCACACGTGCCGAAAAAACTCACATCTACCTGTGAAGATTACAGAATGGTTGTGCAGAACGGGTGCAAATTGTTTCAAGGAAGATGGGTTTCTTGGTTGAAACTCCATGCCTTGAGGACAATGCCAGCTCTTTGAAAGGTAGGGGCCTGTTTGTATAAACATGCCATAAGGAAATTCTAGGAGGTTTGCTTTGGAAGAGCAGGAGTCAAGACTGCTAATTTCACAGGAGACCGGGGAGCCTGTACCTCCAAAGCAAGTTCCACCAACAAGCATGGCTGACCTTGACAATATTTCTCTTTCTGCAGATACAGATGTTGGACACCAAAGGCCATCTTTTAGGCCACCCTGGCTACCTGGGTGGATTTTTTGGTGGCTGAAATAGTCTAGCCCCAGTCGAATGGAGTCCCAGAATGTCTTATCCAGCTTGAAACTTGCCAGTGTTTGTGCCTGGGAGTAAATGAGAGTAAAGCTGAGAGATAATAGCAATAAAGGAAATTTTCACTCCAGCAAAAAGAGAAAAATGTGTGAGAAATTGTTGTTTTCATTCTTGATAGTCTTGTCTTTTATGTAATCAGCTTACAACTTGAACGTGGCTCCATACCAGAGCTCCTGAAAGAACAAGTCTGGTGTGAAAGGAAGCACCATGGTTGATCTTGAATTATCTGCCCTAGGTTTGCTGGAATAGATATGTGGGGGTGGGTTGTCCATTTGGATATTACCAAATCAACATACATATGCAAAATATGGCCATTTACGCATGAAGCTGATCATTGGTTTGGTGTAGTGCTTAAGAGCAGCCGACTCTAATCTGGAGAACCGGGTTAGATTCCCCACGCCTCCACATGCAGCCGGATGGGTGACCTTGGGCCAATCACAAGTTTTCTCAGAGCTATTCTCTCAAGAGCAGTCCTCAAAAGAGCTCTCTCAGCCCCACCTACCTCACAGGGTGTCTGTTGTGGGGAGGGGAAGGAAAAGGAGATTGTAAGCCACTCTGTGGGTGGGGTATAAATCCAATCTTCTTCTTCTTCGTCCTCCTCCTCATCTAAGGTCAGTGTCATCTACAAAGACTTGCAGTGGCTCGTCAGGGTCTTAGGCAGAGGTCCTTCCCATCACTTACTACCTGATCCCTTTAACTGGAGATGCCAGGGATTGACCCGGGGACCGTCTGTATGTCAAGCAGATGCTCTGCCACTGAGCCATGGCCCTTCCCTGTGTACAGATATAAAGCATTTTTTCTAAAGACCTGTGGAATCCCCAGGTTTGCAGGAAAATGCAAAAAGTTTAAAAAATAATTGAGGGGTAGTTAAGAGTTTTCCCAAATAAAGCATGCTAACTAGGACATACAACTTTGGATTGGGAGATTCCTAGGCATTTGCAGTCAGACCCTGGGAAGGGCAGAGTTTGGTGAGGGGAGGGAGCTTGTGGGGGTGTGACGCCATAGAGCCCACCCTCTGTAGCAGCCACTTCCTCCATGGGAACTGATCTCTGCAGCCTGGAGATCTGTCGTCATTCCAGAATCACTCCAGACCCATGGCAGCACCAGGGGTCATTTCGTAGAAAAAGAGGTGCAGGGGCTCATTAGCATAACTCATTAGCATAACTTATTTGCATATGCCACACCCCCTGACATCACCAGAAGTGTGTCAGAAGGCAACACCCACTGCTCAGGCTCCACTGGAATGTTTTGGATTGCTAGCTATTGGGGGGGGGGACATGCAGATCTGTCCTCGCAGAGGAGGGAGAGCTTGTACCTGAATAAAACTTGGTCTTAAAGGTGCCACTGGACTGTTTTGAACCGGGGGGCTGGGGGGAGCTCTGCAACTTACCTGGCTGCTTCTTGCTCTGACTGAGGGCTGCTGGGAGCAGGGGGTTGTTGCATGTGCCTGCCCCCTGGGCTCTTTACTGCCGGAGCTCCGCTCCTGTGCGCTGGCGGCAGGTAGAACCCCCCCAAAAACAGGGGACCCCTGGCAAACTGGGGGGCGGGGGTTGGCAACCCTAGATCACAGTCGGAACGATGTGGCGGCTCAGTAACTGAGACAATAGAGCTTGGGCCTATGCAACTCCCCCCTTGACTACGGGTAGGGAAAAGGCAGCAGAGAAAGTGGCGAGAGGACCTGGGAGGAATGTAAAAAGAGGGGGAAGCTGGGGAGAGAGAGAGAGAAAAGGTTAAAAGGAAAGAAGTGGGAAATGGGGAGTGGGGAAGAAAAGCTGTTGGGGGAGGTGGTGTGGAAGTGGGGTTTCCCTCTCCGACGAATGTTGCGGGTCCCGAGCTTGTGTCTATCCAGTTGCCTAACTGAGACATCCCACAAGTATGCAGAAATCTCTACGGTTTCTGGGTGGCTCCATTCTGCTGCCCTTGTGATAGGTAGTCAGTCGTCAAGTTTGCTGTTCGAAGGTGTGGCAGGTAGTCCAATTTGACAATAAATAACAACAGTCAGTAACTGGGGGCAGCTTCGTGGCCTGCCGTGCCTAGAGATTCGGCCACCTTTTCGGTAACTTCCTATTATTTAATCCACTTGCCTCTCATAAATGAATCAAAGTCTTGTTGAAAATGGTTCCATTCTTTGCCAATGTTCCCGCCCGGGTTGCATTTGCCCAGACACTGTTGAAAACTCAGCGCACCCATCAGGGCACTGTTTTGCACAGGTGCAGAAGTTAATTATCATGTGGCATTGTGTGTAGAATAGCCAGGAGATCCTAAGATTGTCTGGCAGCTGCAAGTTCTAGCTCTTAGTGCTGTGCTAGTGGCACGCTAGACTTGCTTTTAGGGGCTGAGAGAGCTCTGAAAGAACTGTGAGTGGCCCAAGGTTGCCCAGCTGGCTTCATGTGGGGGAGTGGGAATCGAACCCAGTTCTCCAGATTAGAGTCTACTGCTCTTAACCACTACACCAAACTGGCCCTCTACAGGTGCAGAGATGAGGAGCAAAGGGAATGAACTACCTGAGGGCCCCACAAGTTCATATTGCTTTAAGTTAATGAACAAAGAGGCTGCATCCCTGTGGCCATTAATGCAGACAGTCACGTGAGGTATTTTTGTACAGAATTATCATACAAATTTACCTTTAGGTTGGAATAAGTTATCAAGGCTAGCACTTGACTGGTATCTGCCTTTATTCTTTTTGGAGGTCAAAATTGGCAATTGTATTGGGGAACAGAATCCCCACCAGAAAGGCTTCAACCATGGAATTGCCATCTTTTTGACAATCCTCTTGACTTCCAGACTTGTCAGTGACTATAAAATAAATTAGAAAGTGTCATGCTCCTATGACAGATTCTATGATATCACTAGATGTCCATTAAAAAAAACCACAACAAATCTTGGCAACACGATGATATCAATAATGGCAAGTGAGGACAACCAAGAATAAGGGCAAAGAAAGTCCTTGAGGACAATCAAGAATAAGGGCAAGTGAAGCTCCTTTTTAAAAAAAAAAAAAAAATTGCATTTATTTTCAAGGTATGATAAAAAAGTAGGCTTGCCCCATAAGTAAGTATATATACAACAAGAAAACTATTACTAAGTATTACCTGTCATCCTTTCCTTGAAGAAGTTCAAAGAAGGAAATTATTACAGAACCTCCTAAGTTACCTAGCTTCTGTGTATGAACATCTTCTGTTCTGAAGAGATGACGATAGAGAAAAAGCCGGGACTGGCTCATTGCTGGAGAAGAGATGCTTTGGAGGAGAAGGAAGTAGACACCAGGAAACAAATAGGTGGGCACCACTCCACAATCCTTGAAACAATCTTTCAAGTAGGTCTCTACTACATATGGAGCAGAGGTCCATCAGTGGCTATTAGCCACAAGGTATAGATAGGGGCTCTGGGGCAAGTGATGCTCTGTCTTCTTGGTGCTTGGGGGGGCCAACAGTGGGAGGGCTTCTAATGTCCTGGCCCCACTGGTGGACCTCCTGATGGCACCTGGTATTTTTGGCCACTGTGACAGAGTGTTGGACTAGATGGGCCTTTGGCCTGATCCAACATTGCCGTCTCTTATGTTATTATGTACTGTTATCTCCATACTACAGAGTTCAGCCTGGGAGGCACATACAGCTAGTGCTATCCACTAAGTTCATGCATAAGGTGAGATTTGAACCTTCAGGCTGATGGCTCCCAGGCGACGGTATCTCCATCAAGATGGCCAGTCATCCTTGCCAATGGCCGGTCCTTTTTCTGTGGACCAATTTCCTTCTGATTCTTCACTGCTCTCCTCTGCTGAAGAAGCCTTCTTTGGAGAATGCCTCCCATAACAGTATTGCTCTTGATAGCCAAGACGGTCTGACCCCTCCATACCTGCCCCATCTGGGCAGTGAGAAGGCCACGGTGCCAAACCTGACAAGGACAGAGCTTGCGGGAATTCCCTCTTCCCCCCAGAAGGACCAGGAGCTTTAAAATGGATGCAGGAAGAAGTCACAGGAGTGGTCTCCACTATGGTGGACGTGGAAGAGGCACTTCTCATTCTGCTTTGGAATAAAGGGCCTCCACCACGTATTGCGTGAGCCTCTTCCTTTCCATTTTCCATGTCAAGAGGGAATCTGTTTTTGCGAGCCATGTCTATCACTTCCCATACGATCTGTTCCAGGCGGCTCATCTGGGGTGGCTTTTTGGATGGCCCCGAGGTCCCTTCCTCTCGAGGCAAAGTGTACAAGCACATTCTTGAAATGGCTTTCTTCAGGCGCTGTAGAGGAGATTCGGCCTCTTGCTTGGAAGAAACGTTCCAGGAATCCGGAATGTCCGGGAAGGCTGAGAACAGGTGGGCAGGGGAAATCTTCTGGATAGGGGTCTTAGATACGTACGAGTAAAGGCAGAAGAAAGCATCTGCTGTTATGGCCAGGGTCTGGACCTGCCTGAACCGACCTACAGAAGGAAAATAGAAAGTGTAAAACAGCGTGGTGCATTAGACAACCAGCTTCAAATGCCCTCTCTGCTATGAGTTGATTGGGAGAAGCATGGTGTAAAAATGTATTGCATGAACCATGTGCACAACCCCAAGTTTCTTGGGAGAAGCATGGTGTAAAAATGTATTGGACTGACAACTCTGATCCTTGCAATGGAGCCTGTGAGGGCACCCATGATATAGGCCTCATTTTGTTCCCTTTCTGTAATTGGCAATGCCTTGGTTCTGCCATTAGGGGGCGGTGGTGCCTCGTAGATCTAAGAACAAAGCATTGCTGGATGGGAAGCCCCGCCCCAACTCTTAATTGCTGTTTGTTGGGAGCTAGTATGGTTAGAGTGCTGGACTAGAATCGAGGAGACGCGGGTTCAAATCCCCTCTTGGGCGTGAAGCTCTCTGGGTGGACTTCAAGAGTCACTCTCACCCGCCGTTTTGGAGTGTGAGTCAAGCATAACTCCCATTTGAATATCTCTACATTCCAGCTCTACGCCTATTGTTGTCGTGACCTGGATAGCCCAAGCAAGCCTGATCTCATCAGATCTTGGAAGCTAAGCAGGGTCAGCCCTGGTTAGTATTTTGATGGGAGACCACCGAGGAATACCAAGGTTACGACACAGAGGCAGGCAATGGCAAACCACCTCTGCTTCTCTCTGCCCAGGTCTGGATGGCCCAGGTTAGCCTGATATCAGGTCTCAGAAGCTAAGCAGGGTCGGCCATAGTTAGTATTTGAATGGGGGATCACCAAGGAAGACCAGGGCCACTACGCAGGGGCAGGCAATGGCAAACCACCTCTGCTCATCTCTGCCCTGACCTGGATGGCTCAGGCTAGCCTGATCTCATCAGATCTCAGAAGCTAAGCAGGGTCGGCCATAGTTAGTATTTGAATGGGAGATTCAATGCTGGATGGGAAGCCCCACCCAGAAGCTAAGCAGGGTCGGCCATAGTTAGTATTTGAATGGGAGATTCAATGCCTTGGTTCTGCCATTAGGGGGCGGTGGTGCCTCATAGATCTAAGAACAAAGCATTGCTGGATGGGAAGCCCCGCCCCAACTCTTAATTGTTGTTTGTTGGGAGCTAGTATGGTTAGAGCTAAGCAGGGTCGGCCATAGTTAGTATTTGAATGGGAGATTCAATGCCTTGGTTCTGCCATTAGGGGGCCATTAGGGAGACCTGGATAGCCCAAGCAAGCCTGATCTCATCAGATCTTGGAAGCTAAGCAGGGTCGGCCATAGTTAGTATTTGAATGGGAGATCGCCAAGGAAGACCAGGGCCACTACTCAGAGCCAGGCCATGGCAAACCACCTCTGCTCATCTCTGCCCTGACCTGGATGGCTCAGGCTAGCCTGATCTCTTCAAATCTCGGAAGCTAAGCAAGGCCAGCCCTGGTTAGTATTTGGATGGGAGACCACCAAGGAATACCAGGGTCTTGACACAGAGGCAGGCCACGGCAAACCACCTCTGAACGTCTCTTGCCTTGAAAACCCATACGTTGGTTGCGACTTGACAGCACTTTCACCACCACACCTATTTTTTTTAAAAAAATATTTTGTGTGTCTGTGTTTTTGTGTGCTTGCCTGGAAGTCATGGTTGACTTGTAGTGACCCCTACTGGGGGCTTGGACGTTTTTCAGAGAGGTGACTTGCTTAGCCTGCCTCTGCATCCCAAGCCCTGGTATTCCTTGGAGGTCGCCCTTCCAAGTACTTGCCAGAGTCGCCCCTGCTTAGCTTCTGAGATCTGACGAGATCGGGCTTGCCTGGGCTATCCAGGGCAGGGCACCACCACCACATCTATTGATTATGAAGGCATAGGGCACTTACTTGCTAGCATCAGGTAAGGATCTTCCATCTCCAGCCGCTGAACCTGGGCCCTTAGGAACAGCTGGAAATCAATGCCTTGGGCCTGGGATGGAACGGCAAAGAACCGAGACGGGATCCACGACTTAGCTGGGGTCTCCTCTTGTACGAAGCCCAAGTTGGAGAGGACGGTCTCTGCATCCACCTCACATTGCTCCAGCACCTCTGAGATACTAGCAAGAGAGAGAGAGAGAAAGAGAGAGAGAGATTGGATTTATACCCTGCCCTTCACTACCCAAAGGTGTCTCAGAGCGGCTTACAAACTCCTTCCCCTCCCCACAACAGACGCCCTGTGAGGGAGGTGGGGCTGAGAGAGCTCTCACAGAAACTGCTCTTTTTCAAGAACAGCTGTGCCAGAACCATGGCTTGGCCAAGGTCATCCAGCCAGGTGCAAGTGGAGGAGTGGAGAATCAAACCCGGTTCTCCCAGATTAGAGTCCGCGCACCTAACCACTACACCAAACTTCACCAAACAAGGAAATGTAAATGTAGGAGCACCAGTTCCGTCCATACTTTGGATTTGCCCATTATAGTAAAAAAGGAAAGGAAAAAAAAGTTGTCCTCCAGTCTCTTTTTGTGTATATTTTAAATTCAAACTTGTTACAAAGTTACATACAAAACATTCAGATACCCTCCTTTGCTCTCCCAACCACAACCAAAACAAATAATCAATTTCCTCAAATTATCATTGCATCGGAACACAAAATATGTGGTGCGTGTGTGTGTTTCCCAGCCGCCAGCCACGTATACCACACCAAATCTGTCCACAAGCTCCCTTCCCATCTCAGGTCTGCCAGATCAGCATATCTCGAATATTCACACCGTGCGAAATGGGATTCTGTACCGGACGAACCACTGCTCTGAGCCAGCAGGGCTTTTCTTTTCACACAGGATTCATTTCTGTATACATCACATGTATAGTATTTTGTTTGATTTCCCCCTCCCACTTCTTACACTTATTGTGTTGACAGTCTAGGGAACAGAAAAATTACCCTGGTAGGTCAAACCCTGTAAACCCTAAAAACCCAGTACCCCAGCTAAATCTTAGTACCCTATTTTCAACAAAAGCCAGCCAAAAAAATAATGTATGGTTATATTTTTATCCCACCTATCCTTCAAAGAGCAACATGGGATTTCCCCCATTGTAGCATTGTGGCATGGAAGGATGGTTAGGGGTCAATTTATATATTTGACTTATATATTCGACTCTAAGAGGTGGCAGAGTGCTCCAAGGGCTGGAAGGGCACCAGCTGGGGAGAGGCTGGTTGTTAGGGGCTGGCATCACACTGTCTATGGAGGGTGTGCCCCTGAGATGGGGAGGATCTGGCAAAGAATAAGAAGTTGGATTTATACCTGCCCTTCAATCGCTTCTCTGCCTTTTGGCTAAGATCAAGTGTAGTAGTACCCACCCTTCACTACCTGAAGGACTCTCAGAACGGCTTACTACCTCCTTTCCCTTCCCCTCCCCACGACAGACACCCCGTGAGGTTGGTGGGGCTGAGAGAGCTCTCTCGAGAACTGCTAATGAGAGAACAGCTCTGAAAAAACTTGTAACTGACCCAAGGTCACACCAGCAGCTGCATGTGGAGGAGTGGGGACTCAAACCCAGTTCTCCCAGATTAGAGTCCCCGCTCCTAGCCACTACACCAAATGCATGGGAGAAGGGGACTTCAGGCTGACCGCAGCTGTGAGCCCTATGGTGGGGGAGGACTTACAGTGGGCATAAAGAGGGTTTGGGGTCACAGGGCACAAGGAAGACAGAGGAGCACAAGACGTGAATGCAGAGCAGCTGGCACATGGAAGGCAGGGCTGAACTGGCAACTGGGGATAGGGAGTGGCGCAACTACCCTGACAACCTTGGCTGGAAGTTCCTCACTGACGAGCTGCCACCATCTCCATGTGAGTACTTCCAGTCAGGGAAGAAGCAAGGAAAGTAGACCTCGGCCCAGCTTACTAAGGCTGCCTATGACAGGATTACAGGTGCCCCAAGTGATGTGGAACACAACCCTGATGTGATAATCAACACAGGCCCCTGCCACACGGGGGGGGGGGAAACACGGGCAAAGTGCGGCTTTTTAAAGCCGCACCAAAAGAGACACGCAGCGGCGGGATCACATAGATCCCCTGAGTTGCTTTGCACTTCCTCCCCGGCATGATCAGATGCCGGGGGGAAGCCACTGACAGGGAAGCGAGGCAGTGTGAGCATGCACAGTTCGGCCGGGAGCCAGGATTGCTACGAACGAAGAGCGCGCCGGCGATCCCACAGCCGCGCTTGATGCGGTGTCCCAGGTAAGTCCTCCTCTGTGGGTGGTTCTTTTTTGCAGCGCGTTATTGGCCTGAAGGGACAGATCGGGGACGGGTGCGAGCCGATTCCCAGATGTTGCGGAGTGCCCACGCCCGTTTGCTGCGCCCCCGATCCATCCCTCTCCCGGGCCAAAATCTCCCGTGTGACCGGGGCCACAATATATCACGATGGGTAGCCATGTTAGTCTGTCTGTAGCAGTAGGAAAGAGTAAGAGTCCAATCGCACCTTAAAGACTAACAAAATTCATGGCAGCGTCCGTGAGTCACTGCTCACCTCTTCAGATACAGCTAGAATGTGAGTCCATCTGTGCTTTTATCTTGGAGTGATTTCAGAGTCCGAATGGCATTAGCAGGCAAATGACAATAGCAGGGGAATGAGAATAGCAGGAGTGATTGGAATAGGTGTGATATGCAGAGGGGTCGTACTTGTGAGTTAGCCACTGGCTTCAAAGCTGAGCAAGAACCAGAGCCCCTGTCTTCTCATGCCACATCTTGTGCGCCAACACAACCCCACTGCTGGTTCATGTGGTCTCCAGTGGGTAGCTCTTCACACCCAAGCCCCCAACACGTCTTCGCCATCCTTACCTGGAGCTAGTTTTGTTAGTGCTGACTGAGAAAGTACTGGAAGTGAGGCTGTGGTCCAGATTGAGCTGTAGATCACACCAGGAGGAGGCACCTTTGGGGGCTCTGCCATGGAAGCAAAGACAGTAAAAATGAAAAAAAAAGACTTAAGCACATCTCTGTTGGACTGTAGCTGCTATGGTGATTGGGGGGGACTTCTTTGAGACTTATGGTCTTTCTAAGTTGGAGTTTTCTTTCATTTTGTCACTTAGAAACGTTCTCTGCGGCAGTCTCAATAAAATATATCTGAGGCAGTTTACAACATCATCACAACTAGTAAATATACACCTAGTAATATAAAACTTGGAGCTGCGGTGGCTCAAGTGGTTAAGATGCTGAACTGCAGGCTGTGGAAGGTCGGTAGTTCAGCAGTTCGAGACCCGGGTGCCACATGACGGAGTGAGCTCCCGTCTCTAGTTCCAGCTCCTGCCAACCTAGCAGTTCGAAAGCAAGAAATTGCAAGTAGATAAATAGGTACCACTTCAGTGGGAAGGTAACAGCATTCCGTGCACCTTGGTGTTTAGTCATGCGGCCACATGACCACGGAAATGTCTTCGGACAGCACTGGCTCTTCGGCTTTGAAATGGAGATGAGCACCGCAACCCTAGAGTCGGATTCAACTGGCTTTTGAGCAAGGGAACCTTTACCTTTAATATAAAACTAGGCTTGCCACTGACACTCCCCCATCCCCACCAGTGCCCAGTCGAGCAGCAGGAGAGAAAGGGCAGGGAGGAAGTCACTTGGCTATCTATGGTTTTTACCACAGAAATTGGTTGAAATCCTAGATCTTCAGTGATATCACTTCTGGGTTCCAGTCAGAAGTGACATCAAGAAGGAGGAGGAGGAGATTGGATTTATACCCTGCCTTTCACTACCCGAAGGAGTCTCAGAGCAGCTTACAATCTCCTTTCCCTTCCCCTCCCCACAACAGACACCCTGTGAGGTGGATGGGGCTGAGAGAGCTCTCTCGAGGACTGCTCATGAGAGAACAGCTCTGAGAGAACTGTGACTGACTCAAGGTCATACTAGCAGCAGCATGTGCAGGAGCGGGGAATCAAACCCAGTTCTCTCTGATTCGAGGCTGTGCTCCTAACCACTACACCAAACTGGCTCTCAACATGTCACTGATGTCTTTTTCCCCTGCAATGCCCTCCCCCAAGTCTCCTGATGATTCCAGCCATGTGCTGGCAACCCTAAACTGAAATGAAAGTTGTCAACAGGCCTGGAGAAAAACATCCCATTCTTTAATAAAGGTTTCTTGAGTGGAAATCGTCAACGCTTTTCATGGTATGGAGGTAAATGACATCACACGGTAGTTGCTGCAGATCAAACCGATATTAAAGGAACAGCTAGAGGGCCCAGTTTAAAAGCTGGCAGCCCTAACTTACTGCACAAGATCCAGCAATCAAATCATTTGAAGCAGCAATAAAAGGGAAGATTAAAAAAGCAAAACAATAAGACACTAAGTTTTGAAATGATCAAGAAATACCAGCAATAGCTGGCAAAGATAACATATAAACCAGTTGTTAAAAAAATACAACAAATCCATAAAGGGATAACTTGTTTTCAACACTGTCAGTTACTAAATACATTTGGACACACAGGTTTTTGGAAAGACAAACTCTAAAAATGAATAACTGAGGACGTTAAGGTTGCAGTCTTGTGTATGAGAGTCAGCCCAGAAAATGTAGCCAGACCATACATAGGCTTCCACTGTAATATTATTACTTTATGTTTCCCCCAAAAAAGATGCACAGTGTAAGAGCTTCTTTTTCTTTATTTGCTGACACATATATCCAGAAACACAGAGATGGAATTCATCTTCAAAGTATTGTCATTCCATTAATAAAACAATAGTTGCTGAAAAGTAGCACTGCATATGCTACTAGTCTTGTACAGCTGTGGATGCTAACCATTACCACAATCAAATCCCTCTGTATAAATGCATTATTAAATAAATAACAATGGAGCATAGGTGAAAACACAATGCCTGGTCGGATTACAATAAAGTTTTCTTTATGCAAGAGAAAGAAAGAAAGAAAGAAAGAAAGAAAGAAAGAAAGAAAGAAAGAAAGAAAGAAAGAAAGAAAGAAAGAAAGAAAGAAAGAGGGCTTTCCCACATTCTCATTTTCCTCACTTGTAGGTCCCTGTTTCGGGGGGGGGGGTCTGTTCCATGCATGTTTTGTTTCATCTAGTGGTCAATTTGATAATTACACTGGGTTATGTCCAGCATAAACCCCTGCATTTTAAATCTGCTGGACATAAACTACTGTACTATTAGATTGACCACTAGAGGGAGCAAAACGTGTGTGGAACAGAAACCCCCCAAAGAAACAGAAATGTACAAGTCAAGAAAATAAGAGTGCAGAAAATAGAAGGGAGGGGGGAGAGAGAGAGAAATGCTTCCACTACCACAATGCTAATTCAGAATGCACTGCAGGATATGTGCCATTGTCTATGAAATGTGCCCTTCTTGTTTTTTTTCCCCAAAGGCATTCTTCAAAATCTAATTTCCAAAGTCAAACAATAAACCTCTCAGATATCACCTGTGAAATGTTGCTGAATTTCAGAGCAAAGCTGAATGTTTTGGTGCCTGTTACTCACCGGGACTCAGCTATATCTTTGTCCAGTAGCAGTGTGGCTGGAAAGAAAGGGAGAAATGATTATTGTGAGCAAGAGATTCACCGAATCCCTCTGAAGCCCATGTTCACTCTGCAGTGCTCTACTAACCTGCCTGGCCACATGTAATTTGGAATGGGACCAACCTGGTATGAAGGCTGATCTCTCCCCCACTTTGACCTCCAAACTTGGATAAGGTCATCTAAAGGTAAAGGTTTCCCTAGCTCAAAAGCCAGTCGAGTCCGACTCTAGGGGGCGGTGTTCATCTCCGTTTCCAAGCTGAAGAGCCAGCGCTGTCCAAAGACATTTCCGTGGTCATGTGGCCGGCATGACTAAATGCCGTGGCGCACGGAACGCTGTTACCTTCCCACTGAAGCGGTACCTATTTATCTACTTGCAATTTCTTGCTTGCGAACTGCTAGGTTGGCAGGAGCTGGGGCCAGAGGTGGGAGCTCACTTCGTCATGCAGCACTTGGGTCTCGAACTGCCGAATTACAGACCTTCCCAGTCTGCAGCTCAGCATCTTAACCTCTGAGCCACCATGGCCCCTTAAGGACATCTAAAAGTTTCCCTTGCTTGAAAGCCAGTCGAGTCCGACTCTAGGGTTGCGGTGCTCATCTCCGTTTCAAAGCCAAAGAGCCAGCGCTGTCCGAAGACGTTTCCGTGGTCATGTGGCCGGCATGACTAAACACCAAGGCACACGGAACGCTGTTACCTTCCCACCAAAGCTATTTATCTACTTGCAATTTCTTGCTTTCGAACTGCTAGGTTGGCAGGAGCTGGAACTAGAGACAGGAGCTCACTCCGTCATGCGGCACCCTGGGTCTCGAACTGCTGAACTACCGACCTTCCACAGCCTGCAGTTCAGCGTCTTAACCACTTGAGCCACCGCAGCTCCAAGGACATCTACCTTCATTGAAATAACGTGCTCAACAGCAAAGCTTCTAAGACCAACGCTCTGGTTTCTTTAGAACCTACTTAAAGTGGTTGTAAGGCATTCTTCATTCTTTAATCTGCGGACCCAGAAATATCACACCTCTTACCTTCCGCTCCCAGGGTAAGGTCATCTTCAAAGCTGGTTCTGTTGCTACAGAGTCCTGTAAGGGAACCATCCACAATCACCCCAGTGCTGGACAGGGGTCGATTCAAGCAAATTGAAAGGGGACCTGACAAAGGGTAAAAGCTGGAGGGGAGAGGAAGGTGAACAAAGGAAGCTCCCAAGACAACAAGGGCAAGAACTAATCATCTGAGCAAAGCCCAAAGCTGCTATCGGTTTTCCACTATGATCTAGGGTTACCAACCTCCAGGGGATCGCCAGACAATTGCGATCAGTTCCCCCAGAGAAAAGGGCTGCTTTGGAGGGTGGGCTCTATGGCATTACACCCTGCCCCAGGCTCCACCCCCCCAAATTTCCTAATCTAGAGTTGGCAGTTTTAAAGCCAGTGTACAGAAAGACAAGAGGTTGAAGGTTCTGGGAGCTCCCCGTATAGCCTTCCCCTCTAAATAACAGGTATGCTGCTGTTAACCAAAGTTTGGGTTCACGTTCTCCGGTGAGTCAAATCCAATCAACCACACCAGGCGAGGCCTCAAACACAACACGAGCGAACTTTATTCGGAGAAAGGGAACTCCAGCATGAGACACCGGCAGTTCAGAGTTCTGACACAGTTACAGTTGCTCAGATACTCTCCAAAACATTCCGGAACGCCCCACCCACGTATGCATTATTACCTGGGGTCATTTCCTGTGGGAGTGCACAGTACGGAAGCTCTGGCAGTAAGGAGTCCAGGGGGCGGGCACATGCAACAAGCCCCACCCCCTGCTCCCAACAGCCCTCAGTCGGGCCATGAGGAGCAAGAAGCAGCCAGGTAAGTTGCAGAGCCCCCCCTCCGGCCCGCCTTCAGGTACAAGCTCTCCCTCCTCTGTGAGGGCAGATCTGCATGTTCTCCACCCACCCCCATAGCTAGCAATCCAAAACAGTCCAGTGGAGCCTGAGCGGTGGGTGTTGCCTTCTGACACACTTCCGGTGAGGTCAGGGGGTGTGGCATATGCACATGAGTTATGCTAATGAGCGCCTGCACCTCTTTTTCTACAAAATGACTCATATGACATATGTCATGTCTATTTTTCTATGGGGCCCTTCAAAGGCATTCTGTGTCTGGCAATAAGAAACCTCTCAGTCACTCAGACCACCAGATCCAGGCCTGCTCTGACTCTGAGGCCTTAACTGTTGCACCTGCCCTGTTGCCAGATCCTACTTTACAAAAAGATTGCCCTGGATTCTTCCGGAACTGCAACCTGTCTCCAGACTACAGAGATCAAGCGCCCTGGAGAAAATGGCAGCTTCAGACTCCCCAGGTTTTACCCTCAAATTGCCGGGAATTTCCGAACCCGGAGTTGGCAACCCTATGCTCCACACACACACACAACTGGGTTGGGATACACCACTTCAGCTGCCATACAGAACTCTCCGTTGGCTGCTGTTTGTTCCAGACTGGGGGAATTCAAATCGAGAGCACCGTTTTGTGGGGAATGGAGGCCTCACCTGCCCCGTTTGTTGGTTCCCTGATCAGAAATGACTTCAGGGTAGGATTGCCAGCTCCAGGTTGAGAAACACCTGGAAATTTTGGGAGTGGAGCCTGAGAAATGGGGAGGGGAGGGTCTTCAGCAGGGTACAATGCCCTACAGAGTCCACCTTCCAAAGTGGACATTTTCCTCCAGGTGAACTGAGACCGGTTGTCATCCCAGGAGATCTCCAGCCATCACCTTGAGGTTGGTAACCTTGCTTCAGGGAGCTGCTATTCACCCTGCTGGGGGAACACAGGCGAGGGCTCTTTTTGTAGCAGGTACTTATTTGCATATTAAGAGACACACCCCTAATGTAGCCAATCCTCCAAGAGCTTACAGTAGCTCCTGTAAGAAGAGCTCTGTAAGCTCTTGGAGGATTGGCTACATTAGGGGTGTGTGGCCTAATATGCAAAGGAGTTCCTGCTACAAAAAGAGCCCACATCCCACCAGAACTCTGGGGTGCCCAAGCTCACCTTAACCCCATTTTTACAAAGGTCAACACAGCAGATGGTTGAAGTGACAGAAAGTGCTTACCAGAGGCGCCCTGAGCAGAGAGGCTGTCCCCGAGAGGGTCCCTGGAAGAGCTGAAAACCAGAACCAAAAGCACCTTCATTAGCACTGCAAAGAATCGTTCTATCGTCCCATTTGCTCCTAGCTGGAACATTATCAGCAATCAACCCCACTCAGCAAAGCCTGGTCTCAAAATGAAGTCTCCTGGGCTTTGAGACGAAACATCAACTTTCCTGTTTGGCTACAGAGGCATTATTGAGTTAAAAAGGTAAAGGTAAAGGTTCCCTTGCTCGAAAGCCAGTCGCATCCGACTCTAGGGTTGCAGTGCTCATCTCCGTTTCAAAGCCGAAGAGCCAGTGCTGTCCGAAGACGTTTCCGTGGTCATGTGGCCGGCATGACTAAACACCAAGGCGCATGGAACACTGTTACCTTCCCACCGAAGTGGTACCTCTTTATCTACTTGCAATTTCTTGCTTTCGAACTGCTAGGTTGGCAGGAGCTGGAACTAGAGATGGGAGCTCACTCCATCATGCGGCACCCAGTCTCGAACTGCTGAACTACCGACCTTCCACAGCCTGCAGTTCAGCGTCTTAACCACTTGAGCCACCGCAGCTATACATATGCTATAAAGGTAAAGGTTCCCTTGCTCGAAAGCCAGTCGAGTCCGACTCTAGGGTTGCGGTGCTCATCTCCGTTTCAAAGCCGAAGAGCCAGCGCTGTCCGAAGACGTTTCCGTGGTCATGTGGCCGGCATGACTAAACACCAAGTCGCACGGAACGCTGTTACCTTCCCACCGAAGTGGTCCCTATTTATCTACTTGCAATTTCTTGCTTTCGGACTGCTAGGTTGGCAGGAGCTGGAACTAGAGACGGAAGCTCATTTCGTCATGCGGCACACTCAGGTCTCGAACTGCTGAACTACCGACCTTCCACAGCCTGCAGTTCAGCGTCTTAACCACTTGAGCCACCGCAGCTCCATTATTGAGTTAGACAGTACAAAATCAAAAGGGCAGGCTTTGACCTTTACCAGCCTCAGTGGACCAGAGTACATGAAACAGCCCTATACAGAAACAGACAGTTGGTCCATCAAGGCCAGTACTGTCTACTCAGATTGGTGGCAGCTCTCCAGGGTCTCAGGCAGACGATATCACTTTCTGCCTGGTCTTTTTAACTGGAGATGTCAGGGGTTGAACCTGGGACCTTCTACATTCAAGGCAGATGCTTTACCACTGAGCCACGGGCCCTCCCCTAGATACAGCAACCACCACCTTCTACCATAGGCATCTTCCCAGAGCTGAAGGCCATATCCACACAAGAGACATAAATCAGAGTTCCAGCAATTCCTTTTTCTTGGGAGTTGTAGTTCAGTGGCGAGTCAGGAAAGATGGTTACCCACCTCCAGATGGGGCCTGGAGTTCTCCCAGAATTGCAACTGATCTCCAGATTACCGTGATCAATTCCCCTAGAGGGAATGTCACCCTTGGAGGTCAGACTCTATGGTATACCATAGATTATACGACAGATTCTGGAAGAAACCCACGTCCTAGAGTGACATCACACTGTGCCATCACACTACAGAGGCTCCCAAACCCATTCGAGGTCCAAGGGGTGACCGTAAGTGGCAGAGCCTTCCCAGAAATGGCATCAAAAGCAAAACAAGCCTCTACAATGGAGTTTGGAGGGGAGACCTTTTTGGTCAGCTGGAAACCCTTTGCCATCCAGGGCTGCCAAGTCTGGGCATCCAGGGGGGGCAGGGACATGGGGGTGCCATCTTGCCCTCATCCTGCTTCTTCTTCAAATTTTACCAATGCCTGTCCCACTGTTTCCATATTACTCGCTGAATATGGAATCATGAAAACCTTCCAGGCCGGGTTCCTGGCCTCCAGGTGGAGCCTGAAGTTCTCTCGGATTTACAACTGAACTCCATCCTACAGAGATCTGTTCCCCTGGGGGGGGGGAGGGCTGTTTTGGAGGGTGGGCTCTCTGGCATCATATCCTCACTGAGCTTCTTCTCCTCTCCAAATTCTGCCCGCCCCTGGGCCTGCTCCCCAATTCTCAGGGATTTCCCATGCCAGTCTGCAAAAAAACCCTTCCAAATCCTTAACAGCTAGAGTTGCATCAGGCCTGTACCTAGGGATCCCAAGTCCCCCCAGGGGGCGGGGAAACCCCCGCCCCAGAGGCCCATTCCCCGGAGCTGCCGGATGGGGCCCCGGGGGAAACTCCACCCTGACATGCGCGTCACCCGGAAGTGACGCGGGTACGTCGGGCACGCTGGGGGCATAGAGTTTTCCCTTGTATGGCCGTGGCCCCACCCCCAGCATGCCTGGCGTCCTCCCGTCACTTCCGGGTGACGTGCGTGCAGCGCTCACGCGCAAACAAGACGCCAGCCAGGAGCCCCCCACTCCCGGCAAAGATAGACTTGGCAACCCTACCTGTACCTAGGATTTTATAGTTCGGGGGGGGGGCTTTTAAATAAGTCAGGGGGCACTGACATCATAAAATAATATTAAAAAATTTTAAACCCACTTCTGCAGCATTCACACTCTGCCTGCCTACGTGGCGAAGCAAGCTCCGCTTGGGGAAGGGGATGTGGTGGGGAGTCCTCCGGGTGGCCCAGAGAGCCAGGGGGGGACTGAGGGCTGGGTGGAAGTTGTGGGGCCTTGGCAGGAAGTCGGGGGTCCAGGCCCCAAAATGCCCCACTGAAGCTACGGGCCTGAGTTGCGTGCATAAGAATGTGTCCTTTTATTTAGGATTCATTCTTCTGTCTAGTTCTCACTGTTCTTGAATTCATAAACACCCTTTCTCTGGTGAGGGTTGTAGTGTGAAGGAAGAATGGCATTTGGCGAAAGCCTCTCTCTCACATCATTTTCGCCCTCCAAATAGCAGTTCCAGCAACTGAATATGGGAAAGAAAATACTTTTTTAAAAAAGTCAGTGTGTCCTAATACAGACAGGAATTGCCAACACTGAAAGATTATGTCACAAATGTCCCCCCCCACACACATTTTTAACCACTCTGTGACTGTTATTCATAGTCAATTGCTATTTTGCATGTTCCTTAAAATATTTATATTCCATCTTACCTCCCACACACTAAAAGAAAACAGAAATAGTGTAAAAATATGAAGTGATAGCCAAGGACTTCTGTTCATTGTCATTTTGACCGATTTTCAAAGCCACCTAGTGTTGAATTTCAACTTTGTTGATATGTGGAGAAATGGAACTTCCAATTTATTTAAATGATGTTTCAAAATTTTCACTGTCTGTGAGATTTAAGATGGGTAGCCATGTTGGTGTGAAGCTTATACCCAGGTCTTGAAGGTGGACTCTAACTTTGTTATGAAATTTAAATTCACATCTCATTTGGGGGGCATTTTAAGACAGTGGGGCTTGTTCATGCCTACAAACGACTGGGGAAGACCGAATGAAGTGTTTCTGTGTCTTTTTTGTGAGGATAGAGGAGGTAGGAGAAATCAGTGAATTCCTCTGACATTGTAGAAAATTGGACATCGTAAAACAGTTAAAAGCAGACAATACAAAGAAACACCTGTAGGTACCATGTGAAGATATCTCAACCACATATCTATACCAGCAAGTATGATTGATGTTTTCAAGTTTTATTGCAGCATATATTATGGTCTACTGCACTGAGGAGCACATTCTTTCCTGTTTGCTTTCTTCTTTTTCTTCTTGACTATGTGCTTTTCAGCGGCTAGCCTCCTGAATTATATTCTTTTGTATTATCATCTCTTTTGTATTAGTGGAACAACCTGTAGACAGAAATATTTACATACCGTGCAGTCTCGTATGATTTTCAGTTGCCATAATGTCACCAACCGTATGGGTTTACACAGTTCCCAGTCAATTTTTGTCTGGAATGATCATCAATGTTTGTAGAAATGGTTTAGAATGTTGCTTTTCATAACTGCTAATGATAATCATACTTGTGAGTTTTCCTTGACATCTATACCTATGTTAACAGACAAACTGACATATATGCCTAGATTCAGGTGGGGTAGCCGTGTTGCTCCGAAGCAGCGGAACAAAGTTTGAGTCCAGTGGCACCTTTAAGAACAACAAAGTTTTATTCAAAGTGTAAGCTTTCATGTGCAAAACATACTTCTTCGGACAGAGCTGGAATAAAATCTCAAAAGCTACTTGCAGGACTCAGGACTAGTCACACCCTCTTTTCTCCTGTAACTAGCTTTTGAGATTTTATTCCAGTTTTGTCTGAAGAAGCGTTTTTTTGCACCCAAAAGCTTACACTCTGAATAAAACTTTGTTGGCCTCAGAGGTGCCACTGGACTCAAATTTTGTTCAGATGAATAGGCCTTGTTCATGTTTGATTATAGAAGTGCTCCCTCTAATGGGACAGAATAGAAAAACAATTTCCAAGGCTTGAGTTCAGTGGGTCTTAAAGGTGTCAAACTGGACTCAAACGTTGTTCTGCTACTTCTGACCAATGCGGCTACCCACCTGAATGAATGGCATGAAAGATAAAATTCAAAAAGGAGAGCTGTGTTGGTGCGTGGCAGCAAAAATAAATAGGAGTCTAGTGGCACCTTTTTTTAAAAAAACTCTTTTAAAAAAAATTCCAGCATAACCTTTGGGGATTACAGTACCCTTCTTCAGGTGTAATGTAGTGGATCATCATTAGTCAGTTCTTTAATGAAGGAGGTATTATCAATAAAATAAACATGCATGATCAAGAAGCTGTGAAATGCAGGAAATATAATGTCAAATGTAAAGAATGGAAAATTCAAATCTAACCAAGAAAAGTACAAAGGCCCCTGCCACACGGGGGAAGGGGGAGCACAGCCAAAGAGACACGCGGTGGCGGGATCAGACAGATCCCCTGAGCCACCGCGCAGTTCCTCCCCGGCACGATCAGATGCCGGGGGGGGAGCCACTGAAGGGAGAGTGAGGCAGCCGGCTACGCATGTGTGCGCATGCGAAGTTCGGCTGGGGGCCTCGATTGCTCCTGCAGACAGGCGCGCTGGCGATCTCACAGCTGCGCTTGCTGCGGCATTTCAAGTAAGTCCTGCTCTTTTGCAGGTTTTTTATGTGCATTTTCGG